TATAGCCACATGTTGCTAAATATTAAATAAAATTCAGGGCAACCAAATGCCTTCCAAAGTTGCAGAATTGCTAAACAGAATCCAGCTGTGTGTGATTTTTTTTAGTGAACACGCAGCATCATAAAGACCAAGAAACACAGCAGGCAAGTTGAGGGGAAAGTTGTGAAGAGGTTTAAAGCAGGTTTGGGATGTAAGACGACGATCTGTAATCTGAAAATGGAGTGTGTCACAACATGACTGCATTCACTGGCTTTGACAAGCTGGGTAAGGAGAGCATTTACCGAAGAACTGAAAAGAATTGAGAGCTCGACCACCCAAGAGACGAAATCTGTCAACAGTACAACTCTGAGTTTTGCACTCCAAAAAATGTTCTGTTTGGAACAACGGCAATTAGAAAGCCATGAGGACAATATTAAACTTTTGACCTACATGCAAAAACACTATGTGTTGAGGAAAAATTACGGCAAATTTCTGCAGAACGGTTTTAATGTGGTCCAGCAGACTTCTGCAGACTGTTATTTGCAAACACCAATAAAGTGCCTCACACTGTGTCCACTCTGGAGGGAAATGGCATAAAGGAGGTTATGTCTACTATTCTCTGTCTACATTAGGAACATCTAATCTATACTTCCTACTTTGTGTCAACCAATAGCATTTTTGGTAATGTTATTTGTCAGGTGAGAGCTTTTGTTTGTCTTACTCGATAAATATAGCATTGGCATGAAAAATAAAACTTCAGAACTCTTAACATATTGCACTCCAGACAGTCTTATAAATGGTACATTGATGATATATTTGCGATATTTTGTGCAGCCCTAGTTGGTGTATGAACAGAATGCATAAATTGCATCCAAATAAAAGTTCTTGTCATACATATGTTCTGTCTTAACATGCCTGTGGATCTTGGTGTTCATGCGGTGGAGCTCACCTATAGGAATTTTGAGAACTGGAGGTTTAAAACAACTTTTAAAATGTTGAAAGATGCTGTTTTTCCTTTCTGACTGAACTCTATTGTCAGCGCTCTTGGAGAAATACTCCCAAGAGTTGCAGCAAAAGATGACTCCACAAAATTTTAACTGAATATAATTTATTGCCACATTCCTCCCCCCCACACCCCTTGGCATTAAATCCCAATAAGAATTCTGAAATCTGTGACTTTTTAATTTTATAAAACGTCAAAGTTTAAGGAAACTTATCTGAATAGTTTTGCGAGGCACTGTATCCCCCTAGCAGTTTTAACGAGGCTTTTTTTTCTTTTTTTTGTAGCACATTTTATTTTTACTTTGTAGCTCCAGCTAAGCTCATTTAGTCATTATTTCTCAGACACATTGACTCACCTAGAAACCAGACACCTACAAGTAAGCCTCCCAGGAGTCCGACTGCGCACACCGCTGCCAGCAGCCTCACCAGCCTATGAGCTGCAGAAACAGTTAATAAAGGTATTAATGCTTTCAGAACCCTGATGTGAGCTGAAAGGTGCGATCAAATGTCAGCTGGTAAATCTGTGAACACACAGCACCAACAGTAGAAGAAATTAAGCTCTTGTTTTTTTTTTTGTTTTGGTTTTTTTTTTCTAGGAATATGATACCAAGGAATTAAAATACTAATATAAATGTTGTTGTTTTAATGAAGAAGTGATTTTGTTAAGTAGTAGACTGTAGTCACTGGTGCAATCAGCTGCTGGTATAGGTCACCTGGATGGTGCTTACCGTGAGTTGTAGAGCGAGTGCCCTTTAACCAGCCCTGCACCCCTTTGGTTGCCGCGACCCCTGCTGTTGTCTCCGAGTGAAAGGGATGACTGACGGCCACTGGATTTTCAATCACTGACAATGCATCTCCATCAAGACTCTGCGGGAATTACAGTGGGGCATGTCAGGTTTCATTTGGAGCTTTTTTTTCTTCTTCTTCTTCTTCCGTATGACACAAATTTGGCAACCGTGCTGACCATCTGCTCCAGAGCAACAGTCAACCTGTCAGATTCTGTCGAGTTTAATTAGGACCTCTGTAACGCTGAATATTATCTGCCATTAACCAGCCTCCGATGTATGCAGTCAGGGTGGTAAACATCTATGTGTGTGTCAACTCTCTCCCCCTGCTGATTGAGGCATAATGAGCTGGTGGAGGCTTTGGCTTGTCGGTTTTTGTTTCTTGGATGCACGTTGTGTTTAGTGCTGTATTTCTTCATCATTTTCAGACAGATTTTATGACTCCTGAGTGTCTGCGCACAGAGCTATCTTGCCAAGAAGCAGCTGTTTCTATAAGCAATTTATCGCAGTAATTATAGCCTGTTTCTCACTATATGGGACGTGCATAGTGAATATCTTACAATTACTGTGCACACTTCATCTGCATACATACAACAGTGCTTATTTGCATATTATAATTTCTTCAGAGGGCTTTTAATCATTCATTCGAATCGTTATTTTAGTTTTTTGAGTGAATACCCTCACACTTTAAAAAGCAAACAGGATGCACAAATTGAAATTTATAGTAGATTATATCTAATCCTCATATAGTCAAAAATGAATACAGGCTCGGATACATACAATCGAAACAATTAATTGAAAAAATTAATTGATGAATCAACTGTTGAAATTAATTTAGTAGCACTAACTGGAGAATGTAGATCAGTAAAATAATTACTGATCTGAACATATTCAGGGCAGTAATTAAGCCAAAACTGTTAAAAAACAACAACAACAACAACAACAAAAAAAACCTCAAAAAACAAAAAAAAAAACATTTTGCATTTAACTTTTAGCCAGAACTCCTCAAGTGAAATAGTTTAGCTTCACTTGGCTCAAAGGAATGCTATTTTATTCCATTTTAGGCAATAAAATGTTTATTTTCTTACTTCAGTTATATTTTTAAATATTTTATTTGCATCTTTTACTTCTAATATTCTATTTAAAAAGACTCAATTTGTCAAATGAGAAATGTATAAAAATTTGTCTTTTTTTGTTATCCAAGTGAGCAATAGAATAATCAATTATTAAAATAATTTTGTTGCAGTCATGCATACATGCATAGATAAATCCCCACTAATATTTGGGTAGCAAGTGTAAGAGAAATCATATGGTTTCAGTGAAACTACATGGTTCTTGTAGCTGATATGTTTTTGGTATAAATTTGGATATTTGACCATTATACTTGTCAGAATTGGCAGGATTCCCTTTAATTAGCTCTTTTACTTTTATGTTCACTGCATTTTATTGCATTTGGCATCAAACTCATTTCAGAAGCTTAATATTATTCTGCTTGACCCAATCTAAAATCGAGCCCCATAGTTATTACCCAGTTTACGGATTTTTGTTTGAATTTAAAGTTGAGGACTTCAGATGTTCTCTATTATTCCTGTTGCTGGTTGTAGCGCATGTGAAACAGGCTTACAGCGTGACGCTGCCGCCATCGTTCCCTCCTACATCTTGTCATTGTCATGGGGGCAAAAAGCTCAGTCTGTTAACCATAACACTTTTTTTTCTGAGTTTGTCTTGCTGTTGACTTGTTTGTTTTTTTGAGCATTCCTCCTCCTTGCTCAGCAGTGACTCAGTCCATGGTAATGTGAACTTTGCTTCACTGTGAAGAGTGACTGTGGTGTTATATCAGTTTTCAGTTTATAGAAAATTTGAGCCCGAGTTGTTGGTTTATCCTTGAACATCCGTAGGTTATCTCTAAAAGTTGACTGCTCAGGTCAGATGGTTGGTGCAAAATATACTCCGTTTTATGATCAGATGAGCATCGAGCCATTTTGCTGCAGTGACAAAAAGGCTGTTTGAAGGAGTCAAAGTAAGGCTTTAAAACATATAAACCCTGAAGCTGTTCAGCATGGTGTTGGATCATTGGGTGGGACTTTTTCTTGCCTGTTTCACTAAGCAGATCTAAAGATAATAGAAGACCACATCTAAATACTCTAAATTAAATAAATCAAGTTTGTTGGTTCAACCTCAAATTAATAAACCTGGATGGAGGCCTTTTCACTATAACAAATTTTGCTGGATGATAAACTGTTCCAGACATTATCGCAATAAACAATAATGTTGTTTTGAGATAATTTTTAAGTGATATAATGGTAACGTCAAAATAATAATGCAAGAACACATTCTCAAAGATCAATAAACTTTAAATTTTAATCAACATTTAACACTGGGACTGGGAGACATTTTAAATATCCAAAATAAGTAAACCAAACAACAAGTAAAATGAATTTAGAAGTCTTTGTAAATAAACATTTTCTTCAAAAAAGGGGCCTAGTTGAGACAAAAGCACCAAACTGAAGACTTTTGTTTTCCAGCTTTTGGTAGATGGAGAGAAACGATAAATCATGCCAATGGAAATGAATGAGTTTGTTTTAATTTATCATCCAATTAATTGATTTGATTATTGTGACAGGCCTACAAATGTAAATAGTAGTTCCAGGTGGATGATGATCCCAAACACAAAAACTGGTTTTGTAATAATGATGTCAGTTCATGTTTAGTACTTTGGAAAGGCCTTTAACTATTCCAAAAATTTATAAGCAAAAGCTGGGAACAAAAACATTCAAATATTTAGCAACTAATATCCTCAAACCAGCTACTAAATCTGTGGTTGAAGAAAAATCACAGATTTTTCTTCATGAGGGAGTGTTAACCAAATATTAGGACTGTTAGTTATAAAGACATTCTACCATTGAAAAGTTATTCTCATAAAACTTTAGGAGCCCAAAGTCTGTGAGCTTCATGTCCCGTTTTCCACTGGGACTATAATTCTTGAGTAGGTTAAGATGCAGTTTTCTCCAGCAGAATGATTACAAGTCAAGTACATTAACCGTAAGGCAGAAAACAAATCTACTTTATAAATGGAAGATGCATATGAAGGATGAAAAATCTGTAAACTAAAAGAGCAAATGTAAAGATATCACAGGAGTGTTGACTTTAGGAATACTGTCACAGATGGAGCTACAATGTCCTCAACAAGTAGCGTGTTTATTTTTTCTCCTACCATGTTTTCCTGGTGTGCAGTCCTGATGGAAAAGCCGCAGCGCTGCTCCTGTTCATCGGTACGCCTGTGGCTGGGGAGGAATGGAGGTCCGGCCCTGTTGATTTGCCATTTAACAGAATGCAACTCTGGATTTTCCCTCTCACAAAGGGACAATGAGGTCAGCAGCGGTGAGGAGAATGAGGCTGTTGTTTGTCTGTGGGGTCATGGGGCCAGCAGAAGCTAGCTAAACCAGGTATTTGGTTTTTTCTAATGGAGGTGGTAGTGGGAGGGGGGAACATCTCCAAAGATGCCTCTCAGCTCATTATTGATGGCACTCCTGGTGGTTGCCGGGAAACACTTTTTACCTGAGCCAAGAGATAGTCTTTTCCTCACCTGAGACGTGCTGTGACCTGACAGTTTTCGCTTTCTGAGAAAAGGTCGTTATTGTGAATTGTTGAAAAGTCTCGCATCACTTCAAACTCCACGAGATGAAACCCAAAGCCATCGTCGCTCAGCACTCATCGGGAAAATGAAGTCCACTCAGTCTGCCACTGACAGATAGCCTCTCTCTTTAATGGTGCTTTTTCACTTGTTGTTTTCCCGATTTCTAAATAAGCCCTTTGTCTTAATTAGCTCATAATGTATGACCAGAGTGGCTGCAAAGATCCATTACCTCCAAAAAAGAAGGAAATAATTAGCATGTTGAATAAGAGGGATGAGTGCTATTTGAGTACGGTCAAAAAAAAAAAAAAAAGGGTTGAGCTTCATCAGAAAGAAGATCAAAGTCTGTCATTACTTCATTTTCTTGAACACGAATTGAATTTCTTCTCAGAAGACAGCTAATTAGATTCTTTCAGCAAAAGAGAACATTTGGTTTAAAAAAAATAAAAAAATCTGTACTTATGTCTCATTTATGGTGCAGGATTAACGTCCAGGTGAGCGGATAAACTGAAAGGAAGAAAATTCCTCCTCGTCACACTGACAGAGCTGACAGAGAGACAGCCCAGATCTGTTTGACTCATCTAGCAGCTGCCTGAAAGTTTTTCAAATAAAACACAGAATAAGAAGAAATGTGGAAGGATTAATATTCCATTTGATGGAGCTACAGCTGCGTTGATGGTATTAATACGGTGCAGAAGCATGTGAGCTGTAGTTGGGTAATTTTCACAACCATTTCATGTCTCCCTCTTCTGGTGACTTTTTATTCCACATTGAGGATTATTTACACTGCTACATTTATTTAATTCATCTACTTATATATACCTTACGATTTTAGGAAATCTGTTCAAGGATATGTCTGAATTCAGTTTAAAAACCTTCAATACTGAGATATTACAAACAAAGAGTTTCAGATTAGGCTTGTGCAGCACTGAACTAGCGATCTGTAAAAAAAAACAACAGATTGACGTCTAAATATCTAGTCATTTATGCTCCTCTGTGGTGTCTGCAAACAGGCTACATATCAAAATATGATGTAAATCCATGTTAAAACTGAATTTAATTCTTAGAAAATCTAATTATACCTTTCTTTTTAAATCAAAAAGAAAACTAAATCTTAAAGGGAGATTGTAATTTTGTAAACATTGTGAAATACTGGATAAAAGATGAACATTTCAGGTTATTTAATTTAGTATCCAAAGAAATAACAAGAGGATCAATCTTGTGTTGTTTCAGAGTTTGATATGAATTGTATCATAATCACGTCCGTTTTCTGTGATTATAAATATCTAGAACCTTCCACAGACTTTAACACATGTACTGAGGTGTTGTTGCTATCTTTTTTATTTTATTTTTATTTTTATTATTATTATCATTTTCCTTAAAAAAGATTGTTTTAGAAAATTTGACCTGGAACTGATGGATTCTATGATTGTAACTTTTACTATGAATGCAACATCCAGATTGTACTATGAGATTTAGATGATCTCTATTTTCTTTGTTCTTTTAGCATCAGGTAGCGTGCAGTGCAGCGTACATAGTGTACTGTGTACTCTCACAGGCTGAAATCTTGTATTGGATGAGAAAACCTTTGTCTTTTGAACGTTGGAAGTGCAGCAGGTGGTCTGCTCGCTACCACAAAGCCTTAGTACTGTGAATTTGGGAGGTGATGTAACTCGGTGGTAAACGAGCCTTTTATCTCCTGTTCTCGTTTATTTTCAAAGTCACCCTTTATGTTTTCTTCACTGTTTTCACTTAAATTTGAAGTATTTCCAATCTGTCTTTGCTTTCAGGGGCTCTGTACTTTGCTGCTGAAGATGTTTTATAGCTTCTTTGTATCAACCAGTAGTTTCCTTTATCATATAGAGAGACATCCAGAAAATATGTGGTGCACTTTAAGCTGCTGTACAGAGTTAGTCAGTGTGGGGATTAGATTTTTGCTGCTGCTTAATTGCAGTATTAAAAAAGTAAAATATGAATAATTGGAATTTTTTCTTAATTTCATATCAAACAAGTCAAATATTTGCTGCATATCAAATAAGCTCTTGAATAAGCCTTGCTGTGGTGGCGCAGGGGTTAAGCACAACCCACATATGGAGGCCTTAGTCCTCAACACAGCTGTCACAGGTTCAATTCCCAGCCTTGGCAACCTTTGCTGCATGTCTTCCCCCTTCTCTCATTTCCCACTTTCCTGTCAATTAACTATCAAATAAAGGCCACTAGAGCCAAAAAAAAATCTTTAAAAAGAAAAAAGCCTTTATGTACTGCTGATTGGACAAACCAACTGAATAGAGATTTTCCAACACTGTCAACCTTTACTGGAAGCAAATGCAGTCATTTTCTTTTTAATTTCTTAATTTACTGTAAGAAACGGTGTAAAATCTGTTTTGTCCTGGCTAGACTTTGGCTTTATCAGAAGTTTAAAATAAAATGTCTCCAGTGCAGCACAGTCGCAGCAGCCCCTCTGTGAACTTCCCAGGTTTCTTGGTGATTCCCGGTCTGAAGCTGCTCTGTGAAGACGCTGGCTGTTGGCCAGTTTGGATCTTCATCTGTCAGTCTGTGCTCTCCCAGCTCCGTGGGCTCAGATTTAATCAGCTTCACTCTTATCTCAGTCATTAGTGTGTCTGCTTCTGTCCAGTGTCCAAACCTTAAACATCAGATGTGGTCTCTCAGTCGCCACATGGAAATCCATCATGAGGCTCAAACAGTTTGTTTTTTGGTTTTTGTTTGTTTTTTTTTTTTAATGTGTGTTTTTGACCGTCTTAGTCAACACATTCAAAATTCATGCCCTCATTTGTGGGCTTTTATATGTTTCGATGTTTTTGGCTTTGCCTTCTCAGAGGAGATGGACGCCAAAGGTCAGAGAGAAAGGACAGGCGAGGCAGCAAAACACACTAACATAATTTTTTTCTCTCTCTCTTTTACATATTTCATGACATTTAAGAAACTTCAATACTAGACAATCAAAAAACATGTTAAAAGAATGAAACTTGTATAAACTATGGGTTTTCCTTTACATTGTTTTTCAAAAATGATGCGTAATTCCTAAATGCGCTTTGACATAAACTCCTGTGGAGCGATGTCCCTCTGAAATATCATATATGGAAGATGACCTGTTGTACAGAACCAGAAAGTGCAAATAGAAATATCTTTGGTCTTTTCAACATAAATATAATCACTTATCAAGTGAAAACACAGATTTTTCTCAGAATTTTCCTTACACAAATTGTTGAGATTTAAGGGCAGACTACTCTAAATCCACCCAAAAACATTCATCACTTTTTGTTTTGGGATTATCAAATAGTTCTGGACTCCCACAGGAAACAACAGTTCATGCCACATTTTGCAGATCTGTAATTGCAGCAGGGCTTCAGTAGCCAGACCAACACAGTGACCAGTAGTTGTTTGTAAGCATAAAGTTTCTTCACTATGAAAACGCATTTCTCCTCCTGCCTCTCAAATAGTATTTCTTATGACTTCTTCCTTCTTGTATGCTTATGTCAGCCATATAACATAGATTGAAGCTTGAGGCTTTATTCCAAGTCTCTTTTTGTTTAGCCATAATTTTATGGATTTCTGTTCAGCATATAATGTTTTCTCTCTGCCTCAACTTTTGACTACATTATTTGCTTCTATCTACGTATCTAATTTCTCAGTTCTGAACATCAGAAGGAATATAAATATAAGTTTGTACAGAACTGGAAATGAACAGTTGTGAAAAATTACATGACTTCTGGGTTAAAAGAAAAAAAAAAGATGCAGTTTTTAATTTCCCTCTAGTAATAACTTATGCAGCTTTAACATGATTAATCAGCAGCTTGTTTTTCTTAAAGCTTTATCAGGCCATTTGTCTATGAATGGTTGATCTTGTAAACATCCACCAGAAGGTTTTGGTGTTTCTCTTGTGATCTAAGTTTTCCTGCTCTCCCCTGACCTCAACATGACCTTCACCGTCTGCATTTGCTGCCATTTCCTAATGAAATTGCAAACAGTTATCTGAATCTATGTGCTTGGTAAAGCTTTCTTTAATTTGTAGACATTAATTATTTTAATTTTCAGCATGCTAGGTGGCTGTTTAGAGGAGGCGCAGCTGCTGATTATCAAAGGTACAAGTAGTCAGTTTTCTAAATTTGCATCTTGTGACCTTTTCTAACAATCACTGTGAATAAGCAGCCTTAACAAGGTAATTCATTCCTCTGACTTGAATGCAGCCATGAGAACTCAAATGAATGGGTTTTGCACCTTTCATCATTTTCATTTTGACTTTTCTTCACTCTTTTGAATTAATGTTGAATCTTTCCTTTTATTTGCAGATCAGTTTAGTCTCATCTCCACTATTGTCACTGATGAAGCTTTGGTCCAAATCTATAAACGCCTTTGTGCATCTTTACATGATATTGCTGTGTGAAATGATAAAAATTGGCTTTAAATTAAATATTTAAATACTTTAATACCTAGCCGTCTGGGCATTGTTATAATGCTATGCTTTTTCAAACCTATTGCAAAATAAAACATGTTTTGTGTTCTTCCAGTGTTGCTCTGTATAGAAATGTGGATGCATTGTTTACCATATGAAAATGTCTCATGATCTCATTCTTTCTTATTTGCCAAAATCATCATTCTCTTCTTGGTCTCACTATTAACTATTAACTAAAACCAAAACATTGCTGTCCTTGTTGTGAAAACCTGCTATGCCTTATTATCATTGTGTTTTAGTGAAGAGTGGTTGGACAGTCGAGCACATTTATTCTGAGTCTCATAAGTAGAATCTATTTTTAGGAATCCTTCAGACTGATGTGGAAATAATTCTTGACTGGAGGGTCAGTCATTCAGCAGGCAGGTCGATAAAAATCCCATCGTTTTAGTCAGCTCACACCAAATATAGCTTTCAGTAAACGGGACCATAAACATCAAACAATGAATATTTTCTTATGAGAAATCCACATAATCTGTGTGAAGTCGGGCCCTGCTTACAGTATGAAGCTTGAGCCTTCAGACTGTAATGAAGATTTGAAGATTGTTTATTTTTTATTCAAATTCTGTCTTAATGCATTTGGTGATTATTAGGTGTTGGCATTTATCAGTTATTGTGAAAAATTTCTTATAAGAATTTTTGATTTAGTGTTGTCTTGATAAGTCAGAGTTAATATTTCTTTTTAAAAGAAACCAAAATTAACAGTATTATTGGAAATATTCATTTTTACAATTTTGTCCACAGTTTGTTCCATCAGAGCATCAATAAGTAAATTCTAAAATATGACTAAATGTTTACAGTCTTGTGATATAAATCATAGTTTTAAGTTAGCTCATTCACAGCCATACAGTTATCAAAAAAAGTAATGACCTGTTTATCACTTCTCTCAGTATCATAATTATACCACAAAATATCATGATAAATGTCAAAGTCCATATCGCCCACCTCTAGTGACAACTGATGTCATTATTATTGAATTTATTTTTCTTTTATGAATTTATCTAATTTGACATTAAAAAAAACCTAAAAATTCTAGAAGATAAAAGTCAAAAATCTAAATAATGATGCAGTTTTATCATGTGTTTGGAAAACTTCTTTAATTAGGAAGAGCTGTCTTGCTTATCTTCCAGGTTATTATGATATTTAGTATCGTCTCTCCTGTATTGGTTTTGTCTGGCCCAAAGCTTAACATAAAAAAATGCAGCTATAAAGAAAACACATGTAATGAAAGGCATATAAATCAATACAATACATAAAACAAAGTAATTAAAAATGCCTAATCCACAAAATGCAGCGCAAACAAGTAGGTAAAGAATAACTATTCCTGGTTAAAGTACATTATCAGTGATATTATTATTGGACAAAGCCGTTGTGTCTGCAGGACATCCTGCAGCATTGTGCTGCTCTGTGGGGTGAAAAGTCTTAAGGCTGCATATTAGGTTCAGAAGTGGCTGAACTGACCTTTACAGGATGACATGGCGGA